CCTCTTTCTTTTAGAGAGCTAGAAAACATTGGGTGGGAGAGTGTGACAGGACTCTCTAGATGGAGTCATCCAACTCTCAGTCTTGGAGCAGGCTTGATTTCAGTATGTACAAAGCATCTTTTTACTATCCACTGTATATATTCTGAGAGGCAGCTTTATCATGTGGCCAGGGCAAAGTTCTGTCTTGGCTCCGTGGCGTATCAGTGAAAGAAGTTACTCCATAGCAGCACTCCTCTGGAAGGATAAGGGACCTGCTAGTGCAATAAAAAGAACCGGGGTGGTCTTTAGATGGAATAATAGTGACCTGTGATTTGGCCACTGCAGGAGCAGGCTGTTAGCCTCAGTGCTCCAAAGGGTGTGTAGTTTGTACAGTAACATTACCTCCTGCCTGCACACTTGGCATTTATTACTACAGGTACTTGGTAAGGAATAGTGAGCCTTAGTTTCTATTCCAGCCATGTCACTAACTCCCTGGGAATGTCATTAAAAGGGCATTTCTGCTCTGAAAAGTGGCATTGTGAGGCCCACATTGACCATCTCTCAAGGATTTCCATATCAAATGCACTCTGGTGACAATGAAAAACTTAAAAACCAACAAATAGTTTAGTAGTAACCTGTCACCTGAAGGAGTGGGCTGTGCCCACCAAAGCTCATGGTAGCATCTATATGTTTTGTTAGTCTCTATCTAAGGTGCTACTAGACTATTTGTTGGTTTGTAAGTTTTTCCTGTTACAGACTCACACGGCTACCCCTCTGAATCTGGGGATAATGTCCTTTTTTCTGACTCCCCACTTAGCAAACTGAAGGCTTGTCTTCGCGCACTGTGCTATACAGGGCACAGCTGCACCCACACAGCTGTGCCAATGCAGTGCTTATGGAAGATGCTCTATGCCAACAGGGGAGCATCTCCTACCAGTGTAGTTAATATATCTCCCCAAGAGGTAGTAGGTCTATTGGTGGGAGAAACAGTCAACACCAAAATCTAGGTCAATGGGATGATGCCACTCAGTGCTGGATTTTTCACACCCTTGAGCAATGTAGTTATACCAATGTAGGGCTGTAATGTAAACCTAGACTTGCTCTGGGATCTCAGAAAACATATCTCATATCAGTTCAAAATGCTACTTGTCCTGCAAAGTCTCACTGACCACGTCACCCACCTCCCCTTTGTTTCCCTCCATTGGCTTGTCCTTCTTCCATGTATCAAATATAAACTACTAGCAGGTGAGGTCCGTCGTTGACTGGGAAAAGTCATTTTGTATAGCTAACACAGGAAAATTCAAGAAATGAAATATGTCATAGAATTGTTTATTAATGTGCTTGCAAAAGGGATGTAAAAGAACAGTTTTATATTTGTAGGATTTCAACTTCAAACATTATTCATTTTATTGAATAATTACCATACATAGGGTATGTCTACACTTGCCCCCTACTTCAGACTAGGGAGGCAAACAAAGCATACCGAAGTTGCTAGTGAAGCGTGGGATTTAAATATCCTGAGCTTGATTAGCATATTCGCGGCCGCGACCGGCCGCTAATATGCTAATCAAGTGCGGGATATTTAAATCCCGTGCTTCATTAGCAACTTCGATATGCTTCTTTGCCTCCCCAGTCCGACCTAGGGGGCAAGTGTAGACATACCCATAGTAAATTTGAATCAGAAGCTCATAAAGATTCCATTACTCTTTCTGTAACTAATTTGAATTATTTTTTATTTGTAACAGCAAACATTTTCTTTGCACTAAAATGGCAGTTGAACAGGTGACTCAATTTTAATTTTGTTAGCAAATATTTTTATGAACTCTAATCATAATAGTCATAAGTTTTTTGTGACGAAAACCAAAAATAATTATTTAAATCTTTCACCCAACATATTCTGGTGTAAAAAGTAGTGCTTTCAGCTAATTTAAGTGGCAGGATTGTTTATGCAAAATTTGGTATCTATAAGTAATTGTTAAGTATGGCTTTATTTTGCACAAACAATTCACAAACTCTTCAAAATATATAATAGACTACTCTTTATTTTGGCCCTCTGCTGCTTAGCCCTACCTTAAGAAGCCTTTATTGGCCATTTTCCTCAAGCACCTTTGTGCTTTTTGCTATGCTGCCTCTTATCTTAAGAGCAGCTTTCCAAACATAGTCCATATTGTCCCTACTTTAAACTCACCCTTGCTATGATGCCTAAAGCTCTCTTAACAATGATGGTGATAAGTGCTGTTTATTATATTAATCATTATTGTTTCATTGTGTATCTTGGCCTCCCTTCATTTGTGTTCCATCCATCTTTTGTCTCATGTTATAGACTGCAAGTTCTTTGGGGCAGGGCCTGTTTGACAGGGCAGTCCTTACACATATGCAGAATATGCAGCTGTGTAGAGCACCCAAAAATCTGGGGCACCAGAGTCTTCAGTGTCCACCTACTCACCTCCTTCTGTCCCTGTTCTGTGGCTTATACTTCTTCTGGAAAGGATCTAGTTCACTTAAAAGTGAAAAAGCCTGCCAGAGCTATTAGCAGAATATTGAACCTGTGAAAGAGCCATTCAAGTGGAAATGCAGTCATTTAATAGGTATATATTGTCAGTTTCTGAATTTACTGTGTTAGTCTACAGGCGCTTAATTTAAAATTACATTAAAATATTTCATTAGCATGTGGCTGAAGGCTATAAAATCACATTAATAGTAGGGCTGCATAAATCCCAAGGATGGCCCTGCTGTTTGATTTTCATTGTGTGTGTCCCAGTGCCTGATTGGCGCTTAGTTGCTACTATAACAGAAATGTATAATGATGGTAATACAGAGTCTGTCTGAGTTCTCTCCCTTTCATGCTTCACTAGCAATAGTAAAAATGTTGCACTCTGAATTAGACCGTTAGTGATTGTAAAGCAACTTCACTCTCTGCAGGTCATGCCCTCAGTGATATTTCTGGGACCTGAGTCTCTTCATTGGTTTTGCATAGGTTTAACTGCCTGGAACGGTAAACAATTATGCTAATGCACAGGAAAGAATAGAAACAAGTGCCCTCTCACGAGTTGGTTTGAGTCTGCTAGGGCAATGTTTTTCAACCTTTTTTTATAAAGTACCTCTTTAAAAAAATTACTCCCAGTGCCTACAGTTTTCAGACACACATTTTTTTTTCTACCATTGCAACACATTTGTTTAAACAACTTAATTGTAGATGGGCAGGCAATGAAATTTTGGGGTGTAAAAAGTACAAAAATAATAAATAATAAAGCACAGTACAACTTAAAACAAAAATTCAGTTTTCTCCAAATTTCAGTTCTGTTGATGTACCCCCCCAGACTTCTCTCAAGTACCCCTAAGGGTACTCATACAACTGGTTGAGAAACACTGTGCTGAGAACATGAGTAAGAAGCTGTCAAAACTATTTTAGTTATTAGACTGAGTAAATCTGAACACACCCAAGCATTGGGGGAGAAGGTGTTACATTGCTGCTTTTCAGAGTAAAACCATGCCTCTTTCTTCATCTGGAGATAATCATAGAACTGGAAGGTCAGAGGTCATCTAGTCCAATCCTCTGCATGCCTGCAGGACCAAATATCTAATGATAACTTCTGACTTATGTAAAGGTCTTTGATATCTCTTGATAAGAAGTACCAAATACTTTTATGACTCCATATTCCAACTTCTTTTCTCTCAATATCCTGCTTTTTTTTTACTACTCTTGTTCTATCCATCTATTTCTTGCTCTTCATTCTGTCTCTCCCCTTCCTTGGAATAGTAGGAGCTGGGGAGATGCTCGGGATTAAGCTGCATTGTCTAGAAGTGGGGAAGAAGGAAGATTTATGCAAGACTTTTGCTGGAAATGTCTCCTTTTGTATGGAATTGCTGACTCAGTCATTCTAGTTGTAACGTCATGGAAATAATTGCAAAACAGAGGCTCATGATAATACAAAAATTGCTTTCAAAGCATAAACCTAACTAACTAGTCAAGAGAGAAGAAACCATTTCTATTTTAAAGAAAAGAGGAACTTAGCCTGGGTTTTGCAATAAAGGGGAGAATTATATGTATTGTATAAAAGCTTCAGAGGGGTAGGTGAGTTAATCTATATTGTATAAAAGCTTCAGAGGGGTTGGCGAGTTAATCTATATAGGATAAACTTAAAAAACAACAAATATTCTGGTAGCGCTTTAAAGACTAACAAAACATGTAGATGGTATCATGAACTTGCGTGGGTACAACCCACTTCTTCAAATGACCCAAGTGTTGAAAGTCCAGATCTAAGGATAAATAAGGGTTATTAACTACTCAGTCTTTAAGATGCTACACTGTTGTTTTTTAAGTTTTTCCTGTTGTAGACTCACTCGGCTATCCCTCTGAAGATTATCTACTCAGTCATTTTTTCTCTCCCCCCCTGGTTCCCCTTATTTATCCTTGGATCTGGACTCTGTTGTAGACTCACTCGGCTATCCTTCTGAAGATTATCTACTCAGTCATTTTTTCTCTTCTACCCCTCCCCCCCCGGTTCTCCTTATTTATCCTTGGATCTGGACTTCCAATACTCCGGTCATCTGAAGAAGTGGGTTGTACCCATGAAAGATCATGATATATTGTATAGAGAGTTCAAAGGAGATGAGGGACATGAAAGGATTTAGGATGACCGGGAGTGTAAACAAAAGGTAATCTCTACTTGAGATAGTGCTGTTATTAAAGGCAATTTTGGACATAGGACAAGCTTAGTGCACTCAGACTTACACAGTGGCACTAGGTCCACCACTAGGGACGAGACCACATAGAGATGTGTGATTTTGTTACCGCCTTTGCACTTGTACAGCCAGGTCTTCCTGCTCAGGCAGGAGGAGGGACTTGGACTTTCATATTTATAGTCCCATATTCAATCTCTCCAGCTGACAACTCACACCAGGATGGCTTCTAACAAATATAAAGGGTAATCTTGGTGTTGGGCACAGATAGCTGGGAATGGGGTGTGTGAATGACATACCACATTATCATCTTTTTTTTTTATTTTTTTTGCCACCAGTATCTAAAGATTATGTCTCCACTCCTGAGTAGTAACAGCACATACAAGACAGATGATGGTGCTGCTCTACAATATACACTCGAAATCATTGTTTCCCTCATTATCTTCATTCTCACATTTATCCTGGGCCTCCTGGGCAATGGCTTGGTGATCTGGGTGGCTGGCCTGAAAATGAAGCGGACCGTGAATACCATATGGTTCCTGCATCTTGCTATTGCTGACTTCCTCTGCTGTATGTCTCTACCGTTCTCCATCATTCACCTGATCCTCCATGAGCACTGGCCATATGGGTACTTCCTCTGCAAGGTTATCCCATCAGCCATCATCTTCAACATGTTTGCCAGTGTTTTCCTCCTCACTGCCATCAGCATTGACCGGTGCCTGATAGTGATGAAGCCAGTGTGGTGTCAGAACTACCGCACTGTGAGGCTTGCATCAGTGACTTGTGTTTGCATCTGGCTCCTGGCCTTTGTGATGTGCTGTCCTGCCTTCCTCTACCGTGAGACCTCCAAAGATGCATTTGGCAAAACTGTGTGTGTTTACAATTTTGAAGGTGATACAGATTATATGGATTATGGCAATAATTCAGTAATGAACTATGACTTTCTCCCAGATGATTATCCTAGGGAAGATCCAACATTAGTGGCTGCTGGAACTTATGAAGGCATCATTTTCACTCATCAGCCTCCAAATGAACATCCAGATTTCCGGACAGCTGTTCACACCAGGGCCTCTAGTGAAATTAACACAAGCACAGCATCTTCTGTAGTATCAGCCATTCTCAGTGCCTCAGCTGACATGAGTTCATCCGCTGATCATCCTGACTCTGAGCTAACTGAGACTGCTGTCAGCTCACCTAATGTTGGCATATCTAAATTGTCCAGTGTCCTCCACTCAGAGTTATCTGAAACTCCTGGTGGTTTCTCGTACACTAATCCTCCTGGCACCCTTTACGATGGTACTGACTTACTAGAGAACTGGACTGATAACTTCTCCGCCAGCAGTCTGTCAACCACCAAACTGACCATCACTATTCCCAGGATTGTCTTTGGCTTCCTCCTTCCCTTTAGCATAATGGCAACTTGCTACATTCTTATTGCTACCAAGATGCATGGAACCCGGTTTACCAAGCCCCGTGGTAAGACCCTGAGAGTGATCCTGGTTGTGGTGGCTGTATTCTTTGTTTGTTGGGCTCCATTCCATATAGTTGAGGCACTGTATCTCCTAGCTATGCCAGGAACTAAATTCAGGGAGGCCGTGATACTGTGGGACCACCTCTCTACAGCACTGGCCTATACCAACAGTTGCATCAACCCATTTCTCTACGTTTTTGTGGGGCGGGACTTCAGGCAGAAGGCCCGCCAATCAGTGCGGGGCATCTTGGAGAATGCCTTCAGCGAGGAAGTTACACGCTCCACTTTCTATTCACGGGACAAGACCAAGAGTTCAGCAGAAAGGGAAATCAGCAGCAATATTCTCTAAAATGGGACTTCCAAGATAGCATTGCTAAGGCAGGGGGAGAAGTTTGTCCGTCCCACCTCCCCCTTCTCCATGGCTGTAACTTTTTGCTTTAGGATAGCAGAGCCATAACAATGTTATTAGACAATAACCTGTACAGGATACTCACAGGGACTGGGGTAGTACAGAACAGGTCAATCTGCCATTTAATAGCCTCCTGAAAAGAGGGGCATGGACATGCCAGAAAGGAATCTTCTGATGAGACACATAAGGGAGGAAGAGAGCTCCATACTTTAGAGAGAGAAACCCAGTTGTGAGAAGATGTGTGGTGGAATTAGGTAATTACTCCTTGACGGTACTAAATAAAAATATGGTTGTAACGTAGAGTATATATGTACTACATTTCTTAAGCATGTATCACATCATCGATATCACCTAAATTACAAGGAGAAGTTATTTGGCATTTCTCCTTGGAATTTGCTGTCAAACCTTTCCTTTCTCTTAACTCTGGGTTCACCTGGGACACTGAATCTTTTTCACAGCAGTGCCCATCAGGAGTTGCATGAGTGGACTCAGGGAATTTTAGTTTTCCTCACAACAATGCATTGTAGCAGACACCCCTAACCTGCTCATCAGCACTGGAAACTGCCTTGCATGACAGTATTCCTAGAGTCTTTCCATTTCAGTTAACCATGGCCCTCCTCCCTACTATTTCTGTCTCCAAATGACCATTTCTATTATTTGTCATGGCAGCTCAAGGAGTTTCTTTATCTCAGCTAATACATTACTGCACCAAATCAGTAACCAAGGTAGAAGGGGCAATTTTCTGAAAAACAACCCTCATGCTGGGGACATGGGTTCATTAGAAATACGACCCTCCTTTCTGGCTTTACGCTTGATATTATGGCCTGAGTTATACTGATGAGGAAATTAAGGTTGATCTCGCCAATCATGGAGCTGTCACTACTGCATCTAAAACTGCTGGACATGCAAGCAATCCGAGAGTGTCACCCAGGGGGTAACCCTGGAGCTGAGTCACCCCTTCTGTACAATTCCAGAAGTAAGAGAGCATGGAAAGCAGTTTGCCAGAATTCCAACTGTGTGCTTGTTAATTAGAAATGAGAAAAGACTGAGAGATATCGAGGAAAGTGGTCACACAAATACAGACAGTGCTAGAAATACTCATGCACACACACACACACAGGGCCGGCTTGAGCCATTCCTGTGCCCCGGGCAGCGGGCGCACGACACATGCGGCTCCGCTCTCAGGCACACAGCGCATGCGCAGCCCCGCCTTCTGGCGCTCTGCACGCTTTACAGCTGCAATCGGGCGCACGGCACCTAATTGCAGCTATAAGGGGCGCCACACGGCCCCCAGCGTGCGGCGCATGATGGCAGCTATAAGGGGTGTTGCGCATCCCCAGCCCTGAGTGCCTGATGGCAGCTATAAGGGGTGCCGCGCGCCCCTTACAGCTGCCATCAGGCGTCCTCCTTCGGTTGGCACCCCGAGCTAGCCCCGCCCATAATCCGGCCATGCACACACACAACCTGCTGTTCCCTTCAGGGCCAGAAAGTTAGAGATGGGCTAAAGTCAGAGTTCTGATCAGATACACCAACGCTCAGAGTCTTCCAGATCTGGAATTCAGCTAGACATGCAAAGTAAAAGGTGCACATGGAAAAGTTTTAAAGAAAGGCCGCACTGTCTACACGCATGGGTACTACCAGGTCTCCCACATCTCTGAGTGAAGATAAATAGGGCACAAAACAATGGTGACGTCATGGGTATGTCTAGACTGCATCCCTCTGTCAGCAGATTAGGCAGGTCGACATTGCAAATGAGGCAGTGATTTAAATATCTCGTGCCTAATTTGCATAAAAATGGCCGCTGCATTTTGCCAACTTGGCACTTTGTCAGCAAAAAGCGGCAGTCTAGAGAGAGATCTGTCGAGAAAGAAAGCCTTTTTCGACAGATCCCTTATGCCTCCTGCAAGGAGGTTTACAGGATCTGTTAGAAAAGGCTTTCTTTCTTGACAGATCCCCCTCTAGACTGCCACTTTTTGTAGACAAAGTACTGAGTCAGCAAAACGCGACAGCCATTTTTATGCAAATTAAGCCCAGGATATTTAAATCCCTGCCTCATTTGCAATGTCGACCTGCCTAATCTGCATCCCTCTGCCGACAGAGGGATGCAGTCTAGACATACCCCATGATAGGAGGTATACTGTATACCACAAAGTAGGAAGGGGGTGGCTGAGGCATTTCTGGAACCACTAACAGAAATATCCAAAACATGAGTGACTGGTAGCAATGAGGGATTTTTAACTACCCACATATTTATTGGTAAAGCTGCGAACCACAGAATTCTCATAAAATCTTGGAATATATTGGGACATCTTTTTGTTTCAGAAGGTGGATCAAGTAACAAGCAGGGCAGCTATTTTAGCCTAGATACTATCAGGAGGAAGTTGTTGCAAATTTGAAAGTAGAAGGCAAATTGGGTGCAAGTGATCATGATATGAGAAATTGAATGATTCTAAGGAAAGGAAGGTGCGAAGCAATGGACTTCCAAAAGGCAGATTTGGATAAGCTCACAGAACTGGTGGACAGTTAATGTAATGACAATATTTAGAAAGGGTGTAAGAGTTGAACATGGAAATTGCAGGCCAGCAAGCCTCACTTTCAGGCAAAGTGGTTCAAACTAATTGTCAAACATACAAATGAATGTGCTGCTGGGGAAGAGCAAACATAGCTTTTGGAAAGAGAAATAATGCCTCACCACCAAGGTTCCCTGTAAGCTGCATGGCTGTGCAGCTGTTTTCTGAGCTCCATTGAGAGGTTCAGAGCTCCCGCTTCCTCTCTCCTCCGCCCTCACCACCTTCCTGCTTTTGCACCTAGCCTTCCAGTTGGGGAATTGTCTGGGCAGGGATCCCATTTTTCCCTGTGTTACACTCCCCTGCTGCCCACTCAGTTGCCTGTTGATTTCTATGCCTGCTACTTCACTCATTTTATCCAGTTTGCAGTCCTCCCCCCCGTAGTAACAAGACAGCCCCTCTATCTTCTCCTTCCACTGTGCTTTCCTACTTTCACCCTGTCTGCAATCAGATAATTATCTCCTCCAGTGACAGCAATGCCAAATGTCTCCCTGCACTGTCACTGAAAATGGGAAACACCTCCCCCACGCCCAGTTTCAGCCATGTCTGATCACTTTAGGGCCCCTCTTTTTTTTTTAATAATTCTGGTAAGTTCCATGCTTGAAAAACTTCCCTGCAGGAAACAGGACATGCACAGTTTACATGTGCAGAGGCTGCAAATGGGTTGGGAAAATGTTTTTTTGGTTGAATCGACATTTGGTAAGGATTTTGGGGGGAAGGGAAAGAACCTTGTGAGGAGACATTGTGAGAGATGAAACACACGCATAGTAGGACAAGATTTTGGAAAAAAGAGGAGGGTGATTGGGAAGCTATGTGTTGCCTTTGGAACAGTGCAAGCTGGAGCCCCTGGTAAATTTGTTCTGTAGACTTTATCTTAGGGGAGTTAAGGGAGAGGGGACTTCTTGGAGTTCTGTTGGAAAGGACCTGGGGGGGAAGGAGACTTGGTCTGTCTGTGTGTGCGCGCACACTTGCATTTCAAACAAAGTTTACATAGGTGTTAAAGAAAGAAAAAGTTTCTTTAAACAGAATTTTTTGGAGTGATGTAAAGATATAAAACTGATCTCAGTGATTTTGTTAAACTCGTGTTACTAATTAATACATGGTAAACTGTACTGTATTAAAGACAGAACTTTGCTATCTGGTAGAGTTCTGGCTCTCATGAGTCAGAAGGAGCAAGTATTAGGTGTGATGCTAGCTGTTTTGTAGGATGAAACCTTATTTGCAAGCTCTTTGAAACATGGATCTGTCTACAAACCCTGAAGCCATGTGTTAGTTTGCTCTGGGGCTTCTACTCTTTGAGCTGGTGACACACACAAGGACTGTGTCTACACTGGCATGAATTTCCGGAACTGCTTAAAACGGAATACTATTCTGTTTTCAGTTTTTCCGGAAAAGGAGCGTCTACATTGGCACGCTGCTTTTCCGGAAAAGCCCTTCTTCCGGAAAAGCGTCTGTGGCCAACGTAGACGCGCTTTTCCGGAAAAGAGCCCCGATCGCCATTTTTGCGATCGGGGCTTTTTTCCGGAAAAGACTACTGGGCTGTCTACACTGGCCCTTTTCTGGAACAGTGTTCCGGAATAAGGACTTATGCCCGAGCGGGAGCAGAATAGGTTTTCCGGAATAGCGGCTGATTTTGTACAGTAGAGCATCGTTGCTTTTCCGGAAATTCAAGGGCCAGTGTAGACAGCTCGCAGCTTATTCCAGAAAAGTGGCTGATTTTCCGGAATAAGTGGCCCAGTGTAGACACAGCCAAGGTGAAAGTTTCAAACCAGAAAAACTTGTTTTTACAGGTCTGTTTCACTTGTATTTGTATAATATGGATCCTAAACATTCCCCAGATAAATTGCATAAGCCAAAGAGAATGTCTTTTACCCTCCTTTGTAGTGCTATTAAATATTGAATTAATATTTGCAAGGAGAGCATGACTATTTCTGGTTGACTCAAAGATTTGTTTAGCATCTTAAAGCTGAGCTATGTGTGGATAATATGCATTTTGGTGTATTTACTAGCTTGAGTTGTTAGAAAGGATGATAATACATGTAATCCGAGGGCACTGTTAATTTTCCTTTTATTCGACTTCATATTAAATAAACATCATAAACATTGCTCCTTGTTAATTATTCCTTATTTTAATATATTCCACACCTATGAACTTATATATATATATAGGGTTTTTGTTTGTACTGGTGGGTGCCTTATCCACACACTACCTCCACAGTGGTGTTGCACATAAGAAATTTTAACCCGCTCAAGGATGGAAAATGTTAGAGGGAATATGGCTCACCAATCTACTAGAATTCTTGGAGGGCGTCATCAAGCATATGGACAAGGATGATCCAGTGGCTCTAGTGCATTTGGACTTTCAGAAATTCTCTGATAAAGTCCCACACCAAAATCTCTTAAGCAAAGTAAGTAGTCATGAGATAAGAGGGAAGGTCCTCTTATGAATGTAAAGAAAGGAAACAGTGTAGGAATAAATGGTCAACTTTCAGTGTAGATATACTGGGGGGGCAATGTTTCCTATAAGCTGTGCGCTTATGTGGCCACTCAGAAGAGATTCAGATACCCATCTAGCTGATTAACAAAAGCACCCACAGCTAGGTTCTGTTTCCACTGGTGGTGCATATCAGCACATGACTCTGTGCACATAAAAATTTATTTGGCACAGAGATGGAAAAGACTAGGGAACACTGCTGGGGAGACCAGTGCTGTTCAACATATTCATAAATGATCCGGAAAAAAGAGTAAACAGTGACATGGCAAAGTCTGCAGGTGATACAAAAATCATTCAAGGGAGTTCACTATAAAGTTGACTGCAAAGAATCTCATAAAAGTGGGAGACAGGGCAACCCAAATGGCAGCTGAAATTCAGTGTTAATAAATACAAATGTAGCCACCACCAAGGCAGATTTGAACCTGGGACCTTACTCTAGGAGCCCCTACCCTCTGAGCTAAAAGCCAGCTGACTCCCAGCCCATGCTGTAGAGGTCTCTTGATCTTAACTGTTGCAGTGGTCTAGGTGCCACTTGCAGTACTCAGTAACCACACTAGGTGTGTGGGTTACATAAAGTTATGCACGTCAGCAACAGGCAGATAATTAAAAATGTAAACATTTGGGGTACTTTCATACTGCCTTTCTGCTGTGCATAATGCAGACTGACTGGTCTACATGAAGTGTAAAGGCTCAAGAGTGCAGCTCTTCAACTAGCTGCTAAGACTACCTTCCTTGAAAAGGGTCTTGATTTCATATCTGACTTTTGTAAAGGCAGATACAATAGTTCTTCCTCTCTCCCACCAGACTATGCAGGAAGGTGCTAAACCCTTACAATAAAGTTGACAAATCTCAGAGGGGTAGCCATATTAGCCTGTGACTTTAAAAATAGGACCACTCATTATTAATGAAGTTGACATATCTTGTTTCACCTCACCAGCTGCCACTGAAAAATAATTCAACACCAGCACTGCAAGGGTTAAACCTTAAACATTCACTTTTTGTTTTTATTAAGAAAGCATGCACAAAAATAAACTCGTGAGGCCACACCCCCTTTTCTCTCCCCTTGACACAAAGCATCATGGGCCACATCAAAGTGCAAGGGACTCCTCTCACTTGCAGGCTGATCTCTTGCCGACTGCATTCCTTCACTCCTGACAGACTGTCACCAGCTTGCACTGCAGTTCCAGCATGAAGCCTTTTGATTCCACATGTCCATTTTGATGCTATCCTGCCCACAAATGATGCACGTTATTTCAGGAGTGGGGCATGGCTAATTTGCACACTGACCAGCATATATTTACATATGCAAATGAGGCGCAACTGAATATGCAAACAAGGCAAATGAATATGCAAGTGAGGAGCACTTGACTATGCAAAGGAGCCATCTTGGTTTGTTTCCAGGGTTCTCTGAAAGGCCACGTGGCCTTCTGAACAACTTGCATGGGCCCGACTCCTGGGAACATCCCCTGCAAAGTACTGAGTGGCACCTGGAGGGAGGTCATCTTTGCTGCTGTGTGCCACAGAAAACCACCCGTACATGGCTTCCTGGTCTTATCATTCCCATCCTGGGGCAGCAGAGAGAACTGCTGGCTAATTCCATGCTGAAGTTGGCTCTGGGATTCTCCACTCCTGTTGGGAATGCTCAATGATGACTCCCTACTTTAAAAAAAAAATAACAAAAAATTGTACCCCCCCACCCGCCTCAAATCCAACGAGACTGTCCATCTTCCCAACAAAGATCCAATTGGTTTATCTCAACAGCAAATTAAAAAGCGATGCTAAATTATCTCCCCCGTCCTTGGCATGTTGAGTCCCCATGATGGTTTGCTTCCAACTTGGTTCCCCTCACCAATAAACAGGGGCTATGGGGTTACAAAATATAAAGAGGAAACAAGAGATTTGACAGAACAAAGCCACACTAGAAACAGGGGGCCATGGGACACAGCTAGGGGGAGGACAGCTCAGAACTCACTCCTGCCTCAACACCTCGTCCCCTTCCTGCTTTGCAAGTGCTAACTCAGTCTGGATTTTGGGATGTGCTACTTCTGCCTTCTCTCCAGCTGACCTGTGAAGGGTCTGATCCATCCAAGCCATTCCTCCCTTTGGCTGTGTAATTTAAGTATCTGCTCCACACTGCCTTTCTTGTTATCTGTGCCTCTGAAACATAACTGTGAAGCCTCACAACTCTTCAAGTTAGGTGGTGAGGGGCACTCTCTACTCTGGAAGTCCTTAAATCAGAGAAGTGGCTGCTTCTTTCCATCCTTGGCTCGTCCCCCAAAAAGGAACCACTGACTGGTATTTACATCTATGCAGTCAAGACTCCATCCTTACACCATAGGCAAGGACAGTCTCCAAAGAAATTGGGGGGGGGGGCAGAATAACAATCTGAACAAGAACTGAGAAGATAGGGGAGTGCTTCTGAACTGGCATGTGTCTTCTCTGGATATGCTAATAAAAGCCTCACTGCATATTTTTAGAGAAGGTGACGGAAGAAAAAAGGGTGAAATCTAAAAGCCCCAGGGAATTCTATTTGATGTGTTGTGCCCGATCTCCCGCAATGCTAGGGCAAAATACGCCTGAGGAGCTTCCCTGACTTGATAGGTGGGCATCACATTCCCAGAGACTAGAAAAGTTAGCACAGAAAACAGGTCAGGATTCTCTCTAGATGCCTACAAATGGCAGTGTGCTCTGAGTCCTAAATGGTCTACCGGTACATATTTTCCTTTTGCTGGACTCGGTCTCCCTCTCCCAGTTCAGCCCAAATCCCAGCCGTATCTCATCCCCCACAGAGATTCTGCTTTTTTCATATTCAGGATTTTCTCTCCTTTTCTTGCTGTCCCCTGCTGGTGTGAGAATGTTCACAGAGCTAAAATCACCCCTCCAATGTCCCTTTGAACCCCTGACCTTTACAACATTTACGAAACAACATAATTACAGGCTCCCAAAGTCCACTAAGCTCTCTCACTCCAGTAGCCAATACAACAGATTCACGGACAAAGAGGGATTGTTAAACGCAAAATGAGGGAGGCAGAGAAAGATGCTCTGGAGGTTTCGGCCTTCCGAGGTCTTTTCATGGCACTGGGGAGCCATCTCTCCACCTTCCGCCCCACGCCGGGCACCACACAATGTGGGGGAGCCAATCAGATGTGTCCGAGGCCAGTGGGGGAGGGCCGTGCTCGATTACTGATGATGATAATAATAATGAACAAAAGAAAAAAGAAGGTAAAAGAGGACGCAAGGAAGGATTATCTTCGGCAGCATCTTGCGGTGGTTTCTCTGGCGCAGAGAGAGACTATATATCTATATACAGGCAAGGCAGGGAGGCCAAGGCAGCTGGACCTGCGACCTCTCACCACATGCCCCCCTTCCCTCCCAGGTCCCTCACAAGGGACAGGCTCTCGAGTCTGTAACGAGCTAGGTGATCAAGTCCCAGTCGAAATCGTCGGGGATTTCCTCATTGGCGCCTGGAGGAGGGACCGGAGGCCGGGGGACCAGATGATGAGCTGAATGGAGGAGGAAAAGAGAGAGAAGGGGAAAGAGATGGTCAGAGGAGAAGTCAGGCTCTGTCCCAGTGGGCTCCTCGGATAAATAAAAGGGGAAGGACTCAGGTAGCATGAGCTTCCACACAGCAGTGGCCTGCCAAGACCCTGATTCCCCCTTAGGTAGCACGTGTTTCCAGCCCAAGACAATGCCCTATCAGTGTCCAGATTGGGAGCAGGGGGCCTAAGGGTAATTGCAGCAGTGAGAGCTTCCCTGAACTGTCCTGAACAGTCTCCAGGCAGCATTCAGCTACGGCCTAAGGAGCCTGGTAAGCCCGGGCAGCATCCAGCTATGGGAAAGTGGTGAGAGTGGGCAACGAGATGGGGAGGTGAGAGAAGTCAAGCAACGGCGATTGCTCTCACCAGTGCCTCACACACCTCCTGCAGGCTCGGCTCCCTCAGCCCTATGCCACATCCATGAGAGCAGAAGGGGAAAACCCTGCTAGGGGGCGGGGTGGGAATTTTATTTCACCCCTTACCTGGGCGATTGTATCCTGGAGAGTCCTGGGTGGAAATCTGGTACATAGGAGATGGCCCGGAGAAAAGATGGGGAGGCTGTGGCTGACCATAGGAATTCACTGCCAAAGGAAATGGAAAAGCCCCATCAGTGATCCACATACCCAACGCGCCTGTCACTGATGGGACATCACAGCTCAGCCAGAGCACAGACTGACTCGCGTTCCAGGCAGAATCAGAAAGCGTTCAATGGACACCTCTTGACAACGTGATATAGCTTGGCCACAAAGCCAAAACTATATTGTTATTTGACTGCATTAAAAGGGTCGTTTTGGCTCACTGCCCTCTCCCTAGACATCTCCAAATTCTGTCAAAATCAGGCTGCAGCAAGACGATGACTTCTCCGTCCCACCCTTGTCAGCTCCTCCCAGAACAGCGGCGGGCATGATACAACCCGTGGGCCGGATTCAGCCCACCAAGCCTTTCAATCTGCCCACAGCCCACCCTACTGGGACCCTCAAGCAAGGAGCAGTTAGATGCTTTGAACAGCCGGGGCTGCAGCCCCACTGGGCTGCTGGCCAGGAGTCACCCAAGTAAGCGCCTTCCAGCCAGAGCCAGCCTCTGGTACCACATACCCTCTCACATTCCAATCCCTTGCTCCAGGTCACCAAACCCTCTGCACCCCACTCCCGAAGTCACAATTCCCTCCCAGACCCTCATCCTCTGTACACCCCTCCCTCAATCCAGAATCCCCTCCTGCACCCACACCTCCCTCCTGGTCCCTGCACCTCAAGCCTCTGCCTCAGGTCACAACTCCCTCCTTCACCCAAACTCCCTCTTAGACCCCACACCTTCTCCTGCACCCCAATTCCCTACTCTGAACCCCCTTCTGCACCCAACCCTTGTTCCAGACCCCACACACCCGCCATAGAAAAGTGCAGCCCTTGACCACTTACCACAATCTTGGCTAGCCCCCCATCAAATATTATTGCCCAACCCTATCATAGAGCATCATCCTACTCTTCCCTACCATGGGATCTTCAATGCCACAGTTTTCTTCTCTACAACTCTTGCCATCTGGAACAGCCTCCCTGACACCTCTCCATGTGCCATCGACAGATGATATCTCACCCCCTCCTGTTGCCTGTGTGCTTTCCAATTGCTTTCTGCCTGGGTTACTGGCCTTTCAACTAGGGATGTACAATCCCATTTAATTAGTTAATTGGTTAAATGTTAAGGATGGGGGGGAGGGCTGCTCCAGCCCGGCTGTTTCCAGCCTCGTGTGGGGTTGCTGCTTTTGGCCCTGTGCAAGGCTGCTGGCTTCCAGCCTGTTTCCGGCCCTGCACGGGGGGCCAGATGAGGCAGGGGGGCGCGCGGGGGGGGGGGGGGGGGAGTTGCTCTCTGGGTACCAGTTAATAGTTACTTAGTAAGCATCACCTGTCAAGGTCTTATTTGGTATGCATGGCTGAAAGTAGGGATGTTAACGAGTTAACTGGTTACCCATTAAGATCCCTATTTATATCCATACATACCAGATAAGACCTTCACATCACTATGTGCAGTGTTATGACCACACCTTTCCAAAACTAAATTCTCTGGAGCTGGGGGAGGATCGGTGCTTAACTTGTGCTGGGCACCTCTGATACATCTGTGACCAAAGTAAAAGAACTGCTGGGGCCCTGGCACCTCTTTCATTACAAATTAAGCAATGGGTGGGGCATGGTTGGTATGAAAGACACTGATGAAGATGGGGTGGTCTGGAGCAGTATAGCTCTGGGCTGTTCAGTGTCATGGTGCTTGGTGTGGTGAGAAGCTGTCCAGCACATGTACACAACTACACAACCCTCAACCTTTGCGTGGCATTCTAAATCCCTCTGCTGCCCACCCTGCTGGGTACCTTGGTTCATGGACTGCTCCTGCTTGCCACTATTCAGAGCACAAGAATCAGAAATTCGGGGGGGCTGCTGAGGACCCCCCAGGTGTGGGAGCTGACCAGTCTGAGTGAGAAAATGATTGAGGGAGTCACAGAGGTTGGCAATGTGGTGCTGATCCAAGGTCCAGTTCTTCCGGTCAGCCTGGCGCAGGCTCTCCATCAGCTCTGCAAGGGCAAGGAGGGTGTATGTGAAATCCAGTCACTGCACGGATATTGCTCCTTTGCCTAATCCCTAGTCCTGTGGGTACCCCCCTGGGAATCCTCTCAGGCTCACGATGTCACTTTGCCTAATCCCAGTGGTATTCCCCCAGAGAGTCCCTTTCTTTACACTCAGGGCATCTCCATCCCACGTGTGCCTCTAATCTCTGCTGCACACTCTCTGGGGAGCTCCCTTTTTCCATCTGCAGGGTGTTTTCTCTGACACACGAGTAGGACAAGCAGCAGCAGGGACTGGGAAGCCATCCATCTATCTCCTCACGGCCCCCCATCACCACCACAGCTGGTGGCCTAACGATCTTGACTGGATTTCTCTTCACCACAACCCATGAGGCAGGACAGTGCTGTTATCTCCATTGTACGGATGGGAACCGAGGTCCACCAACAAGGAGTGACTTGTTCAAGGGCACACAGGAAGTCTGTGGCACAGCGGGGAACTGAACCTGGGTCTCCCACTGGGCCAAGCAAGAGGTGGGATGTGCCACTGACCTGAGAACTGGGAGTGTTCAATGCTAGACCAGTTCAGCCGGTTCACCATCTTGAAGCTTTCCTTCAGGGAGTCAATATTGGAGCACCACTCAGGGGTGAATGCTGGAAAGCAAGGCAGACAAGGCCGTTACAAGGGAGTAACACTCCTCCGCCCCCACCACTGTGAACCAAGTCAACAGAACATGGCCCTGGCCCTGATTTGCCAAAAGACCCTACCACTGCCCTCCACTCCCATTTCCGCACCCCGTGCCTTGTGTGGCTAGATCCACCTCTGCTGGAGGTGACAGGGGAAATGCAACTTCCAAATGCACTCAGACCTGGGAGTAATCCTCCACCTTCCCGCTGTACCTTATCTGCTGTCATGCACGGGGCACTGCTGCAAGGGACCTCACCGCTAGAGTCCTGGGCATCCCCCTGAGCCCCAGCACTAGCTCAGCCCCCTCTTCTCCCTCCAACTCCAACCTGCAACTCACCAAAGCCAGCGTTGTTGATTGAAGCCTGTGATTGCTGCTGCTGCTGCTGGTGCTGCTGGTGTTGGTGCTGCTGCTGCTGTGGGTGGGTGTGCGGGTGGTGCTGCTGGTGCTGGTGGTACCCTCCATGCTGCATTGGGGGTGGGTGCATCGACATCACAGGTGGGGGACCATAGCCATCGCCACCCTGCTGCTTGCCCCCCTGGGGTGGACAGCCCTCTGGGCTGGAGGTGTGGAGCGGGGGAGCAGCTCCCACTGCTGAGGGGCCCTGCTGCTGCTGGTACATGTAGTAGTTGTGATTGGAGGGCTGCATGTCGCCAAGGAGAGAAGAGAAACCTGCAGGATGCAAGTAAGAAGAGTCAAGAGATGCGGGTAAGGTGCCTGCCCAGCTCAAGCACCTGCCTGAGTGGGACCTCATCCCACTTTCCTACTGATGCACTCACGTGGCAGAATGCCCCCCACAGGGTCACACAGACATTGGCCTTTCACAGTCCACGTCATGGCCACAGTCCTGGTTAAAGTACTTTTACCAAACTGAACTAACCCTCTGAAATATCACACACATGCTGTCGGGCTAGAGGAAACTGTTGCACAGAGTTAGAACAGTTTGAAAAGTTATTTAGAGGCTGTGAGTGTTGACATGTCAGGTCTGGTTCCTTTTCCCCCTAAGCTTTCTCTCATGGGTGTGTGGTTTGGGGTTTGGTTTTGGGGTTTTTTCGAGTTTGTATCTCAAAAGCTCTTGGACTAGAAACTTTGCTGCCTCTCTAATGTGAATAACTGGAGGGTTGCAACACTTTGTTATTTCTGAAGGCTGAGTGTGTTGCACACATCAAAGGTTCCTTCCTTTCCTCCATAAAACTCCCGGTGTGCCATTCTCCCATCCCCTCTATTTCAGAATTCTGAAACTCTTCCACATCATTTCCCATTCTGGGGGGCTCTGTGTACCCCCCTGGTTTCATTCCTCCACTTGCACTTTTTCCCAACCCCTCGCCCAATGCTAAGGGCTCTGTATTTCCTCTTCTTTCTCTGTGGCCCTCTGTTCTCCCCCACACTGGAGTCAGAGGAAGATGCAAAGGTTACTGCACTACTGCCAAACACCCTAACATAGAAGTGCTTGTCATCAAACTGAACGTGAGGTCTTATTTTGATTGGCCAACAAGCAAAACACCCCACCCATTTCAATTACTCAGGCTCCTCTAGAACACTGTAAAAGTAACAATAAAAAGGTACATGCACATATGGTTTTGCCTATATGGGTCACTTGTAAGTCCTTGTTATGAATGAATAACCTAGTTTTCTAATACTACTCTGGCACCTTTCATCTTAAAGTGCTCTACAGAGTTCTGTATGAAGGTTACTCTCACAACACTGAAATGCAGTTGCCTTTGGGGAAAAGCAGCAACAGTTTAACTGTCACTCAACACAGCAGTGTACAGCAGGAAGAAAAGAAAAAAACTGTCTTCAAATGAAGCTGTAAAAGGAATGTTAGGACAGCACAAATATGTACCCAGCAGTAATCTGTCCTGGAGAACTGAGATCACACTCCTAGTCAAGATTTTCAAAACTAGGTAGCAAAAGTTGGGCTATGTCCTTGGCTTGCTATCTAAATAATGGTGTGACAGTCCCCCCAGGTTTTATGAAAACTGGCTTACGAATATAAATATGCATAACTCAAAATGCTTTCATCAAAATCCCTCATGTAACCTACCAATGTTAACGTTACAATCTGCTGGATCTGTATATCATATTTTGGTGCATGTATCATTCTGGTATGTAAAGTTAGTAATACGAAGTATGAGTCTGTTTGTAGTTTTAAATGTGCTAATGAGAGCCATTACTGATTCCCCTCCCTCCAGCCTTAACAACTTAGTGATCAACTTAATGACTTGTAAACAGCCTTGTTTGTCCTGTAAGTCCAAAGGTGATTGGACTAATAAGACATGTGACCGTACCACCTGGTACTGGGATTCCATTTTGACTCTGGTAGTTTTCTATAGAAAGGGGGTGTATATAGAAAAAAGGTTCCCGCCTTAGGGGAAAGACTATTTAAGCAATGGGAAGCTATCAGCCCTTGGAAAACCCTGGAAAGAATACAAGGGGCTAGGGACCCAGGTCAGGGTGAAAGAGTCTCTGACCTGAGGATTATGCCTACAGCAAGAATAGTTCATTAGGCTGTGAATCTGCTTGCAGTAAGATTTTTTTTAGTGAATTGAACCAGCTATGTGTTTTAACTTAGTAACTTACTTGATCTGTCTGTTTTCACTTCCAACCACTTAACTCCTAGGCTATGTCTACACTGGCAGCTTCTTGCGCAAGAACATCTTGAGTAAGGGTTCTTGTGCAAGAAGACTTGTGCAAGAAAACATCCACACTGCCATGTGTGAGCTGTACTTTTGCGCAAGAGCTCCCATGGCAGTGTGGACGCTCTCTTGCGCAAGGAAGCTCTGATGGCCATTTTAACCATAGGGCTTTCTTGTGCAAGAAATCCCTGCTGAGCATCCACACTGCCCTCTTGCACAAGAGCTCCTGCACAAGACGGCTTACACCTGATAAAAAAGAGCATACCTCTTGTGCAAGGAGCCCTCTCCTACCATGCCGTACTGTAAATTTCCTTGCACAAGAGCCGGTGGGCAGAGTGGACACTACAAATACTTGCGTAAGAACAGCCATACTTGCGCAAGAAGCCGCGAGTGTAGACATAGCCCTACTGTTTGTACTTGAAGGAAGCTGTCAGTATGATCAGCACACAGTGAACAATCTCAAAGGATCTTTTATGACCACACCACATCATAAATGGGTCTAATTTTCAGTAGACTGAGCATCCAGCAAGTTCCACTGATTTCAAATACCTTAACTCGAGTGAAAAGGGAGTTTAGTCTCTCTGGGTGTGCCTAAACTACATGGCTCCGTCGACGGGAAATGAAGTGGTGATTTAAATAATCGCCGCTTCATTTAAATCAAAATGGCCACCGCGCTGTGCCAATCAGCTGATTGTTGGCATAGCGCGGCGGCCATTTTTATTTTAATGAAGCGGGAATTATTTAAATCCCTGCTTCATTGACTATGTCGAGTAAACTACTTTACATGGCTCTGTCGATGGAGCCATGTAGTCTGGACACACCCTTAGAATTAATGTGATAGACTCTACATTCAGCCCTGTAAAAAAGTGGTAAGAATCAGAGATTTCTTTAATCAAAATTAACATATTCATGTCTTAATCATAAGGCAAAGGGTGGGGGAGGAGGAATTGCACTTTTTTAGGTACCAGGAAAGTCAGATAATATCTATGTATTTTAATGGCATCTGGTTTGCTGGTTGGTTCAATCCTTTAGTTCTCAGCTAAGACTGCCAGGGAAGGAAGGGTTAATTGGTTTTGATGATGGGAGTAAAACTGAGATGGGGCAGACAATTCATATGAACAACAGTTGTTTTTCAGTCGATACTGACACAAGCTGGATTTGAGCCATCTAAATTAAAAGGCCAGTATCCCACTGCAAACCCCTGAGCTGTTCATTCCTTGTCATGGGGCACCTTAATCACTCATCGAAAGTAGGCCTTGATTTTATATCTTAGCCACAAGAACCTTGCTCAGAGCGCAGCACCCCCTAGCTGAGCTCAGTACTGACTTGGAGGGTGAAGCATGCCAGCTGAGTCATCAGCACAAAGCCATGCAGCATCATGGGTTTTTCTCTGGTGGCCAAGTACTGACAAAATCTGACACTGTTTAGCTTCTGAGATCTGGGCTTCCAACACATTAACAGGCTGGACTTTGCGTATAGCACCTAGCACTATGGGGCTCCCGTCATGACTAGGGTGTTATGGTAATTCATAAAATACATTATAATTACTGGTATCACAGAGGAGTCCTGCTTGTTTGACCCGGCAAGGTGGAAAGACTGACCTGCTGAAAATTGAGTGATTACTGAAATATGGTAGCTCCCGATGTAATATTGCCCTCCCCAAGCCAGACAAACTGTCTCTCTTTAAATACAGGCCCAGCAAGCAGAAATTGTTCTAGGTTTTGTGTCCCCTGTTCTTGTCACAAACGTGACACTGCCCTCTGGTGGCTGCTCTCTGAATCATCTAATGCACAGAAATCCGAGAGGAGAATGGATTAGCTGGTTGATTATATCTTGTCCCCTCCACCCTCTCCCTCCTCTACAGTTATTTCCTAGGGCTTTGGCCAGTCCTACTTTTAAGTGACCCGACTGACGGGAACTTCCACCACTCACTTTGGAGAGACCTTTCCATAGCTTCATTTCATTCCACTATTTCGAGTTTATGCCAAGCATCTCTGGATGATAATCTATGGTCTCAGACTCCCCATATTTCACTTTTCAAGCATTTTTTCACAATTGATCCCTCTAGCCCTTATTCCTTCTGGCTCAACATCAGCTATTTTAAAAAATCATGGTTGGTTCTACAGAAAGGCAGCAAAGGGCTGACATGCCGAGAAAGGAGAATTTCTGGACTACACACTGCATGTGAGCAGGGAGAAGCTAGAGCATTGGAAAGCAGGGGAACCCTCTTTTCACGTGCTGCTAGAAAGAGGAAGGGCCTGAGAGATGCGGGTTGGGGCATCACTAGGGAATACCACAACAGCACACATACCCTGCACCATGTGCCTCGGCTTGGAACTTACCGTGCTGGGAAGAGGATGATTTCTCCAGCATGGATTTGTAGAGGTTTCGAAAAGACCAGCTCAGATCCTGAAAGTTGATCTCAGAGTAGGAGAACTTGAAGTCGTGGTTAGTGCTGTAGAGTGGGGGTGGCACATCTGCCCCTTCCCGGCCCTGTCCCCCCGCCACAGTAGCTGCCACATCCACGGGCCCTGTGCCCTGCTGAAGACCAGACAATAGCATGAAAAAACACCTCTGTACATTGTTGCTTTGAAAGGTCAGGAATTTGAGGAGAAGGTGGGGGGTTATTCCCAGAAAAAAAACACAACCAACAATCTCATATCACTTGTCTGTTTCCCCCTCAAAATCCTCCCAACTCCTCTACCAGAATGGGGGACTCCCTTTGTCCTCTCCCCAGTCCACACAGACTGGCTCCAGCCCACCCTTCAGCCACGTCACATCCCTAACAGCTTTATCCCTCCTCCATCCACCCCTTTCCCCTGTTCCACTTCCTCCCCACGTCCCTTCTGGCCACTGACCTCCCCTCTTCAGCCACTCTTCCCTATAGCCCTCCCCATCACAGAGTCACTCATCTCCCTTAGCCAGTCTCTCACTTCGCCCATTTCCTTTTCCTCCGCTGCCACTCACCTGACTGTAATTGGCAATGGGTGTGGTGCTCTGCAGCGATAGCTGAGGGGTGGCCTCTGGGGGGAGAGAGGATTCTGTGCTGACTGGGACAGCCCCTCGTGGGCTCTTACTTGCCTCTTGTTCTGGGGAGTCCTGTGATAACTGTGGGCAGAGGGAGAAAAGAGGGGAGGAAATCAGAAACCTCAAAAAGGGAAGCTGCAGATGAGAAGCCAGCTCCCCCATTGGATGAGCCCTAGGAAAGCAAGGTACTGGCTGTAGTGGAAGAACATTCAAAGGGACTGGAAGATACTAGGGGGTGATGGCAATGGAAGTCACACGGTGGGGACAAGAGGAAAATTCAGATTTCATGTTCATCTTGCCCTGGGCTTCACCTCCCCACAGACACACCCTGTTTCCTTGATGGGTCCCCAACCTGGCCTTGGAATGCTTCTGGAGTAAGAGGGGAGTTCAACCCTCTCCCTACCCCCATCTGGCCCTGGACAAGAATCACACTCACATCATCGTCTGGAGGGTGCCGCCTCTTGCGGGAGATATCTGGACAGGTATCTATTGTCCAATAAGAACCCTGGAAAGAAAACACAACATTGAGAGGAACTCTCTGCTGCAGGATGTTACTGAAGCCCACAGTGCACATCGACTGATACATTAATGATCAGGGCCATCAACATGCATGCTACAGCACATGCACCAATGCCAGCTAGGCATTATGATATAGAAAAGAGACTCACAGGCCTCCTGCCTACATATTTACATTAATAATATCCAAAATTGGGGTATTCAGAGATGCAGCATGGGCACTTAACTCTTCAACCCCTAACGAAGGTGCAGAGGTGTTGAAGATTAAGCTGAGTGAGTTTTTCTTACAACTGTTTTTGGGCATTTGAGTTTAGTGGGTGGTAACAATTGTTTTTAAAATCCAAAGTTACAAATCAGATTTAAACAAATATCAGTTCTGCTCTCAGTTGCATGGATATTATTTCTTTGGTGTCTGCTAATAATCCTACCAGTTTTCTGGTCTCCGTGACATCTTTCAGGCAGAACAAGTTAATAAAAGATCTGCATTTCTAATATTAAAAAAAAAACAAAAAAAAAAATCTCTGAAAAAATCTTTCAATCTAAGTAAAGGTTACAAGGCAGGAGGAAAAAAGTGGGCTAAACCCTCTTTCATTGCTTTACAGATCCTTTAAGTGAATGGTTCTGGAGTCATCAAACACCGCAGTGTATCTCATTACTTTAACAGATATGCTACATATTTAAGAATTTCTGCCACATGGGTAGACAAGGTGACACTGACTTATTCCCCACAGTTTAAGTCATGTATCCAGGAACAGGTTATTTACTTACCTTCCCAGGATCGTCCCTCGGTCGAGGTACCTTCCGAAAACATTTATTCAGAGACAGGTTGTGGCGAATGGAGTTCTGCAGAGGGACGGATAAAGGTAAATAATTGCTACATTGGAAGAATACAGGCTGCAGGGGAAACAGAAGACTTCTATGTATCCCCAGGACTGGGAAAAAATAGTAGAGGGGCAGAGGTCACTCAAAGCGAAATCCACCTGTGTACACACGCTGGATGGACCAGGACAGAGGCTAAGGGAAGGAGAAGGATGGACAGTTCTGGAGACCAAGGCCTTCTGGGTATGCCTACAAAAGTTACAGTAAGGATGCTATCTGGGCTAGGAAGAGATTGGCAGAGAATACTTTTGTGGGCTCTTCTAAATAGGGAGGTGGTCCTTCACATGTATAAATCAATCAATTCCGGGGAAATTAGGAGTCATCTGGTCCAGCACTTCCTCCAGCTAGTAACCCGACATTGCCTTTACACCTAACTCTTTTCTTTGGCATAGCAGGGACGTTCTGTATCAAAGAAAGAAATCATGCTCTCTTAAGAGGTTGGAGAGTCTGCTCCAACCACAGCCTTCCTCACCTTCCACCCGATGCCAGCGTTTTTATAATAAGGGAAGTTGTCGCAGATCCAACGGTAGATCTCGCTGAGTGTCATCTTCTTGGCAGGTGAAGAATTGATGGCATAGGTAATCAGAGTAGCATAGCTGTAGCGTGGTTTTCCATCCTGGTGCACTGCAGCCTCATCCTTACTCAGGGTGGCATTGGGGTCAGTGGGGGAACCTGGGGGGCACTTCCGGGCAGCCCCTGGGGGCCCCGCCTGCGAGGACCCTCCTAGTTTCTCAATAGTAGCACGCAGGGTGAGCTGGGGGAGCCAGTCTATGGAAGTGAGACTGCTTTCCAGGTCAGAAGCCATGATTCCAAAAGAAGGAGTATCTGTTGAGGAGATAGGAACAAACAGGACTCCTGAGACACAAACAAAATGTCCCTTGCTAATGGAAGGGAAAGATGAACGCCCCCACATCAGCATGCTTTTGTGAAGAATAACTTGCTCACTGGTTACAGCCAGGTATAGTTGTGTTACCACAGACCTGGGACTGCATCCCTGGGAGGACTATCTTGCTTATAAGGTCTGTCCTGGAATAGCAATCTCAGGGACACAGTCCCGCTCTGAGTATCCCAGTGAGACGCAGGTAAGATAAGTAGGAGAAGAGAGGGATCTATCCTGAGGCGTGGAGCCATTCCACTTCTGTATCCCTGTCACACAACATTAGCATCATCTCAGTAAGTCAAGATGGGTATGGTAAACAGGGGGACCATCCCTCTCATTATCTCCAGCTGCAGCCTAATAAGGTCAAGATTGTAGCCAAGTCACAACTAAATAAAATCACCTGTAAGGGTCAGCACTGGCAATGTATTTATTGGGAGTGATGAAAATAATTTCTTCCTCCCCCTCCCTGCATTATATCATATTGTATCCAACCCAGAATGTAAACTCCTTAGGATCATAAAAAATCCTCCACGTGCCTGCCTGTAGTGCTATATACACACATCATTTTGTCAATCACAGCATGAAAGAACTGAGACTAGACTGAAAACAGAATCACTAGAATTAGATTTTGCTTTTCTTTAGCCCTTTTTTCCTACGGATTTCAAAGCATTTTGCTGAATTAAGCCTCATTAAATGTAGTCAAGTATTATTATCCCCAACTGAGAGAATTGAGACACACACAGTGGAGAAGTGACTTGCCTAAGGTAAGTCTGTAGCAGAACAGAGAACAGAACTGGGGTTTCGTTATTCTGATTCTTGCCTTAGTCACATGATCATATTTCTTCTCTCTAAAATAAAAGACACCTGCTCAATGTGAGAAGTAATTAAACCCAAGCATTCAATTCAAGAGGCCACATTTTTACAATAAACCAATATGTTTGGTAACCTGTGTGAAATGGGCAGGTACCATCCGAGTTCTAGGGGGTCAGGTCATCATAAAAACCACCATCACAACTGGCATTAAATGACTACACCAAGAATTGAATTCTCCTCTCATCCCTGCCAGTGATGGTCCCTCTGAGCCCTCCCTATATCTGTTTTGGTGATAAAAAGGGGAATTCAATCTTCAGGTAACAGATTAATCACACATACACAGCAAGACAGAGAGAGAGAGATAACAAACTAACATGAACACACCCTGCTCAGGAAAACCCCATCAGATGGCAGGCACCTCCTACCAAGTGTATCACCCACACTGACTGGATTGGCTGAGGCAGGGAGACACCCATCTGAATGAGTGTAACCAGCAGATATCCTTTCTAAATATAGATACTCCAGGATGACACGGTGTACACACACAGATCCAGACATGCATGTATCCAGCACTTTCACACAGAGATACAATTCCCAGCTTCTTTCACACAGCACCCTACGCTCACACACCACAGTATTCTTAAAACATAAAAGCACCCAACGGTCCTTCACTCCCAACAGATACAACCCAGAGCTTTCATGTACCTACACACAGGGCTTGCATTTTCATATACACGCTCACTCACTCCATAGAATATTTAGGGCTCAAATCCCCATGCACATGTACATACAATAAGACCCAGCACTCAGACTCACATACAGAGCCAACACTGTCTTATACACCCAGCACTCAGACAACATCTTTCTCATTCCACAACCAACATACACACACACACAAAAGTGAAACTATGCCACTGCCATATCTAGAGCAGGGGGAAGCATCCTGCTTTTGGAGCAGAGGTGAGGAAAGGAAAGGCCCAAGGGCAACTTACTTACGTTCCTGCCCATCTCCCAGCCATGACATCAGAACAATAATGATGAGCTAGAGTAGTACAGAAAACTTGATAGGTAACCATTGCAAAAGGCCTTCCACTGCAAGCCCATAACTTATTGAAAATACCTCCTTTCAGGCTAAAGCCTGAAACTAGTCTAATCCCAAATATTTTATTTTTAAATCTTGAGCAGACTCTAACCACCCATTTTTGAAATTACACAAGAGTGAAATAACATTTTTTCCCAGTGTAAAAAACCAAGCAAGTAAACAAAATAATGGTTTCGGTGTCTGTATAACTCAAAAACAGCCAAACTTCAACAGTATGTAACTTTCCACATTGTCTAGCCTCATTAAGGACTAGTCTCAAGCCCAACTTGGGAGAAAAGAAACACCAAATAAATAGCAACTAAATATTCCATTTTGTAAGTGTGCATTACAAAATATCAGTCATGTTAATATGTACAGGACTACAGAATAACAAAAATAATATGGAGTTGTGATTTCATGCTGCTATTTTACTATGAAAATGAATATTTGTGTGAGATTTTAATTATGCAACTCTGGAATTACAAAGTAAAATGAAAACAGAGCTTAACATTTTTTTCTCTCTTTTTCAATCTTTTACTACCTTAAGATTCAAATTTGAAATTCTGTCAGAGGATGTTGTGAAGACCAGACCTTAACAGCATTCAAAAATAACTAGATAAATTAATGGAGATTCGGTTCATCAATACTTATTAGCCAGAATGAGTAGGAATTGTGTCCCTAGCCTTTGTTTGACAAAGGCTGGAAATGGATGACAGGAGAGGGATCACTTTATGATTACCTGTTCTGTTCACTCCCTCTGAGGCATCTGGCATTGGCCACTCTCGGCCACTGGTCTGATCCAGTATGGTTGTTTTTTATGAAATACCCAAAATTCAGGAAATGCAAAAGTTACAGTTTTCACAGGATTGGTAATTTGTGTTACATAATAATCCAGACTACTCAATGTGTGCATGTAGTTAAATATAAGGTTAATATACAATACAGGTTGAACCTCTTTAATCCAGGACTGCGAGCCACTAAGGGAGTCCAGCAGAGGGGAACCCCACCATCAGACCAGTAAGCCCCATCCCCAGAGAGCCCCGTTTCAGTGAGGCAACAGTGGGGTCAACAGTAGCGGGTGAGCTCTGTCCCTGGGAAGCTTCAGCGTGGCGCGGCAGCAGCGGAGCCTAGTCCCTGGGGAGCTCCAGGTGGAGCAGAAGTGAGGTCACGGCAGCTGGGGAGCTCTGTCCCCGGAGAGCCCCTGCGGACTGACGGCAGCGTGCTGAGCCCAAGCCCTGTAGCAGGAGGGCTGGAGCCCAGTGGCAGTGGGGCTGTAGCAGAGCTAGCCAGAGGGAAGGGCAGTATCCCTGATCCGGCCAATTCCCTCATGAGGGACTGATCATGTCCCGAGGGTTTCGGACCAGGGAGGTCCAACCTGTATGCTCAGAAATGCAAGCACAAGAGACCTTGACTTCATTGGGAGATATATGCCAGGATAGATTTGGATTATATGCACACTGCAGACATAGGATAAGTATCTGAACTTTTGAGAGTTTTTAAAAATATATGACTTTAATATTACCCTGAAGCTGAACTAAAGTAATTCAAGTTTTGAATGTATATGTACGCAAGAATCACCCACTGCTTAGCCTAGGGATGTTAACTAATGTGTATTTGTGTAAGCTTATAACCACTGGATTTTTTTAGCGGTTACATGTTTACCCACAGGGGGAGGGGGAGACGGGAGCCATTGCTCACTGTGAGCTGGCTTTTAAGCCTTTTAAGCCAGCTCGCTGTGAGCACCTGCTCCTGCCAGCCCATCCCGCCTCTGCCTCTGATAAAGAAGCAGCAGCACAGGGGAAGGTGGCTCCATGGGAGCCAGTACATGCAAGGAACTGGCTTGAAAGCTGCAGCCTGAGTGTGCCCCACCCTCTGGGCTGCTTCCTCTCTATCAGAGGCAGCAATGCAGGAGGGGAGGGACAGGCGGCTCCACTGGCACCGGCGTGTACTGGCTCCCTCCTGCCTTCTACACTGCTGCCTCTTTATACAGAAGTAACAGTGTGGGGTCTGGGGAAGGCAGTCGGCTCAGCAGCAGCTGGCTTGAAAGCTGCTTCCTGAGTGTGCCCCACCCTCTGGGCTGCTTCCTCTCTATCAGAGGCAACAGCACAGAGGGGAGCGGGGAAGGCAGCTCCGCAAGATCCGGCTCCCTACGGGCACTGGCCCCTACCTCCTCCACCTTGCTGCCACTGTGCAGTAAGGGATGTGTGTGCATGTACGCAATATAAATAATAATGAGTCCAGGTTTATCGGTTAATCGTGTACATGGCTATACTCTAACATCTCTAGCTTAGACTCAGCTGGCTTTAGGGTGAAACACAACAGAAGTACACAGCCACACTAAATAAAAGTTTAGGATGGGAAGAGAAGAATTCTGTATCCAACAGAAACTGTATAGAAAATGTTGGGGGAAAAGTATAATTTTTTAAGATGAAGCTAGGTCACAGTGCTAGATTTATGGCTCTGTCTTTTATGAGAGGTATGGGATATTTAATGACAGGAGCAGTCAGGCTTTCAATTTCACAACTGACCTTAAGATGGCAACTCCAGCAGCATAGTAACTCTAAAATCAGGCTGTCCTACTAATTCACTGAGGACTTACAAGGAAAAGTGCTCTCTATTCATTCTAGGCAACACAATGGGTTTGCCTTAGATGTCTCCTATCCAAATAGTGAACCGGCTCGAGATTGCAGAGCATTTAGCATGTGACATCACAGGCCAAACCAGAACTACACCACCACTTCTGGTTCTTTCAACTTCCACTTCCCAGTCAGGCCTCTGCTACCCCCACCCTGACTACAGAAAACCTGCTACCACAGAATGAACAGGATGAATCCAATCACTATGTTGTCAAGGGCCCTACTACATTATTTAGCCAGATGGAATTAACTTCTAGCAATAAAGAAGAATTGAAAATGAAACATCAGAATTTGTAAACATCAGTGGTCCTAAGCCTGTGGATGGCGACCCCAAAGTAGGTTGGGTTGCAGTTTTAATGGGGCTACCATAGCTGGTATTAGATTTGCTAGGACCTGAGCTAGAGATGCAAAACCC